AGAACTTTGCTGCTGTCTAACTTAGCCTCACATCTTCCAGCTTTTCTTCCCAATTCCAGTTCTGGAAAAATCATAATTGCAGCATAGGACTGGTCTGCTCCTTTAACAGAGGACTCTGTAAAAACACCATGAGATGGAACCTGCAGGTTTTGGGGTGTATTGGGTCAACAATTCCAAAGATTTCTTCCCCAATCCCAGGATTCGTCCTAACAAAACTCAATGGAAAGGTGCTATTTTTTCTGTTCTAGTAATGGCAAAACTGTGCCTCCTGGAGGTCACGTGACTCGACAGAGATCACATGGTTAAGGCCAAGCCTCCAACTTCAGTCTCTGGCTCCAGAGTGTGTGCTTTTACCCAGTACAGCTTGTTTTTTTCCCATGCAATAGAAAAGAAAGGGGAACCAGCAGATAAATGTCAATGTAAAATAGCAATGGTGGCAAAATGGCAGGAAATCTGATTTCCTTTCCAGAAACCTTAAATGTTACTACTTTAAGTATTTTAAAACAACCTAAATCATGCAAGATCTCCCCCTCCATCCCCAACAGGGTTTCTCTGTGTAGTCCTAGCTTCCTGGAACTCATTCTATAAGACCTCAAATTGGGAGATCTGCCTACCTCTGCCTTCCAAGTGCTGGGATTAAAGGCTTGCACCACCACTACCTGGCTTTTACAAGATCTTTTAAAAATGGACAGCAGCAACAAATGGTAGCAAATGGGATTTCAGTTTCTGAAGACTGCCTGTGGGCTCAGCAGAAAGTGATATAATTCTCTGGTTACGCTAACTGCCCACTTGGATCTTTGAGCCAGAGGAGGGGCTTAATGACCAAGAGCATTGCCATGGGATCCAGCCCTTCTGTCTGTACAGGTGACACATGACTGGTCTGCAAAAAAGAAACAGGAAGGGAAGGAAGAAAGTAGAGACAATTGTGCAAGGTCCCTGCTGCTTCTCTGCTGTGCCAGTGACCTGACATGGCCAGGATTTGGCTCAAAGTGTATCTCAGGAGACAGGACACTTGAAGGTCATGGCTATAGTTGGTGGTGTGCAGAAGCACAAAGATACTGTCATGACTTTTGCTGAGTCTTGGAAGCAAATTCAGTGTGTCACTTTGTGTCTCTGAGTGCAAGTGTTGAGTTGCCAAAGAGGGTCACAGTAGAAACTGCTGTCCCGTGATACCCCAGCTGCAGCCTGCCACCACACTGCAGTGTTCCTCTCAGAGACACCAGTAGAGAAGGTCACAGTAGAAACTGCTGTCCCGTGATACCCCAGGCTCAGCCTGCCACCACACTGCAGTGTTCCTCTCAGAGACACCAGCAGAGAAGGTCACAGTAGAAACTGCTGTCCCGTGATACCCCAGCTGCAGCCTGCCACCACACTGCAGTGTTCCTCTCAGAGACACCAGCAGAGAGTGTCACAGTAGAAACTGCTGTCCCGAGATACCCCAGGCTCAGCCTGCCACTACACTGCAGTGTTCCGCTCAGAGACACCAGGCAGAGAAAAGGTTTTGGGTGATGGAAACAGACATTTTGGGTGATTCATTCTGCTTTTAATCTGGATCCAGTTTGAAATGGGAAAGTGCCATATTTAAATGGTGTCCAGGAATGGAACTAGAATCTTCCAGGGCATTTTCTGATTATCTGTCTCAGATGAGCATGTTAATGTCTTTATTTTAAGAAGAATTTTCTCCTTCCATAGCCCTTGCACTTCTCCCAGGAAAGAAATGTTCTGTGATGCAGTTGACTAAACACTGGGTCTAGTTGAGAAGGGACTTCCTCTGTAGAGTGAAAACTTCAGAGGGAGCATTTGACTCTGGAAAACGAATTACATTAACTTTCATGTGCTTCTGTACATTCTTATAGCAAGCAAAGGCTGAAAACTGGCAGACCATTTATCTTTCTTGAAGTCTGTGAAATATAAGATTGTGTGGGTCTTGTTTTTCTGGAAAAGGAAAGCGATGCCCTCAGCAGAAGCAGACTGGAGAAGATACAGGACAGGAGTCTCCTTAGTGTATAACCTGCCCTTTTGTCTTCGGTTTTAAGGTGTTTAGCTATATCCCATCAACATGTCACTGTAGCGTGGCACACTTTAAACATCACAGAACGCCACACAAGCCATGACCAAGAAGGAAAGTCCTTTTTGACAGTCTGTTGCCTGTAAGGACTCTATGGTATTCTGACATCATGACTCAAAAGCATGTTTAGAAGCCTTCAGTGAGTTTAGGGTGCCCTGACCCCTCTCCTGGAACGGCACCTTGGCATTCAACTTGGTTACCCAGGCAAATGCTATCAGGCTGAAGTGGGGGGCTGTGATTGATTTTGAAACACTGCTTGTGGTTGTTCCTGAAGTTAGGGATGGTAGACCACAGCACCCTGATGCAGAATAGTCTTAGCACTATCACTCAGTGCTGACATTTTAAATTATTTGGCAAATATTTGTTGAATTTTAGCTGTGCTATATATAGCTTTATCTAGACACTCTTGGTAAAGTGACCATATGACCAGCTTTATTTATTTATTTACTTAATTATTTCTTCGTGTGGGTGTGTGTGGGGGGGTGTTTTGCATATCACCTGGAACTGGAGTTGCAGACAATGTGAGTTGTCATGCTAGTGCTGGGAATTGAACCTGGGTCCTCTACAAGAGCATCCAGGGCTCAACTGCTGAGACATCTTGCCAGACCCACTAGGGCCACTTTTGAGGGTGGGAGTGAGCTATCTATCCATAATTACACTGAGCAACACTATAGCCCCCACACTTGGGGGCAGAGGCAGAATCATAGTTTAAGGCCAACCTCAACTGCATAGTGAGTCTATGTCTTAAAAATCTAAAGTAGGGGCTGGGGATCCGGCTCAGTAGAGTGCTTGCCTGTCATGAGGGAAGCACATGCATGGTAGTAATTACATGTCTGTAATCTTGGCACTAGAGGCAGGAGGATTAGAAGTTTAAGGTCCTCCTAGGGTACAAAGTGAGTTCTAGGGAAGTCTAGGCTCCATGAGATCATCCCCCTCAAAAACAAAACAGTGCAAGCCAACCTAAAATAACAATAACAGTAATAACTTTAGCATCCATGATGCAGTCATCACATGGTGGGACTATCCTAGCTAACCCTGAATGGCCAGTTTCCATGCATATTCATGGCCTTGGGTATGTACAACTGTTAGACAGCTAGTCGTTCCATAGCAAATCAAGAACTTTATAAAGGTCCTGGGTTCTATTCTTAGCACTACATAAACAAACAAAAAATTATAATTATCCCAGGACTTCACAGCCTATTCCCCCACTTCTGAACTATTTACATAGCAGAGTGTTCAAGCATCTCACACTTCATTTTTTGCTGTGTTTCCACGCTTCATTAGTCATAGCAAAAACTTGTCAAAGGTAGTCTGCTGGAGTCCAACAAGCCTTTTCCTTCCTTCTTTCCTTCCTTTCTTCCTCCCTCCTTCCCTCCCTCCCTCCTTCCTTCCTTCCTTCCTTCCTTTTTTTTTAAGGTCTCCTTAAGTAGCTCAGGCTCACTTCCAACTCATGGCAATCCTCCTGCTTCAGACTCCCAAGTACTGAGATTATAGGCATGTGTCACTATGTCTAGCTCAATCAGCTAAGGTCCAGATGGCAATTATTTTCATCTTTGTGGGCCATGTGATGTTGTAGCTGTCCCTTGCTGACATTGTATGATGAAAATGAGCACGTTAGGCTGTGTTCCCAAACCTCATCATTTTCCTATGCAAGTGGCAGGCGAATCCAGGCCGTTGTTTGCCAGCCAGCTTTGTATCACTCTCCTCCCGATGTCATCACTGTATGCTTCCCTCTCCCTGTCTCCCTGTAATCTGCTTCTGCCACAGTTTCTAGCATCTTCCCATTGCTGGTGGCAGTCCTCTGTCTTAATCCAGTGTAAGGAGTGAGTGCTCTTTCTCATCTGTATGCACTTGTTTGGTTCTGGTGATGTCATAGTCCTTGGTTTATCTGTTGATGGTGGTTTTCTCTCTTGAAAATTTGCCGCTGCCTTTTCTTCCAGACAGCTGGAATATACAAGGGCTCAGTTCTCCCTCCCTCACCTCGCCTTCCCTCTCCCCTCATACAGGCACCTAATCAGGATGTGCTTGAGTGACTGAAAGAGGGAGTGAAATTCTGACTGACATGACTGAACAGCTGTGGGTTATCACAACCCCAGTCCACCAGTCCTCCACATGTGTAGCTGTAGCGCTCTTCCGCCTTCCTCCTATTCCCTCCTATAGGCGATGTGTAAGCTATAATGTCGTTTGTGTGTCCCATCCATCTTGGTGGGGATTTATTTCCTTAGAAACATTTGGCTCACTACTAGCTTCTGACTTCATTTCATTGGTTTCTAAGTAGGACACCATAAATTTCTAAGATTTGCCACAAAATTGGAGTCCCCATACCAGTCTTGATTTTGTTGTTGGTGGTGATAGTTGACATAGTCTTTTAGAGTCATTTTGTCGATGAGGAAACTGATACTCAACCAGTACTTAGAGCTTACTCACTTCTAACTTGGAGCCACTGCTGTCTTCACAGGTGTGAAAGTTCATGCAGACATTGAGAGAAAGATGTGTATGTTTTTGTTATCAGTAACATGCATAGTAATCACCAAAATAGTGAGACTAGTTTAGTTTTAAATAGAAACTTTATGTCTAGCACAGTAGCACTGGGAAAGGCAAAGGCAGAAGGATTACTGCAAGTATGAAATCAGCCTGATTTGCAGAGAGTTCTAGTCCAACCATGGCTACATAATAAGGCTCTGTCTCAGAACACCAAAAACCGACTTTAAATTTTATGATGTAGATTGCTAAGAGTTCTTAGAATTTGCTTGTGCTCACATGCAAGGCTTTATCTAACTCTCCTGCTCTGATACAGTGAAACCATAGTGCAAGAACAATGAATCAAGAGAGTTTCTGGTCAAAATTTTTGGGAGACTGAAATCAATTATAGCATAGTGCCTGGTGCCTCCTCTCCTTGCTCCTCATTTTTTACCTACTTCTCTTATTCTAGGCACTCGAAGAGGCCCAGAAAGCCATTCAGCAGCTCTTTGGCAAAATCAAGGATATCAAAGACAAAGCAGAAAAATCAGAGCAAATGGTGAGTTTAGGTTTCTTCCTTATGTGTTTGCACCCAGAGTGGGAAGTTAGTGTTTCATCCAGTCACAGTAATTAGGTCCTTTCTCACCCTGCCTGCCAGCTGCAGTCATGCACTCCTCCCTGTGAGTGCATCCTGACTGCCTCAGAGGAGCCGCTAGACAGGGGTGACTCACGGGCCTTGCTGCCCTACATTTGCAGCCGCTTTCAAGTAGGAAACAATCTGCTACCACCCCTCACCACAAAGAGTTTCCTAGTCATTTTGGTTGTCTTTCTCTAGCGTGTTTCTAGCCTGTGTTCCCCAGTTAAGGTATCTGCGATGTAATCTGGTAAGTAGCTCACTAACACTGTTCCCGGGTCTGGGGTGAGGGAACCATGCCCAGGATGCATGCACACAGCTTTCATTAGTTCCCACTCTCTGAATTTGTAGGTGATGAGCTCAGAAGCGCCCTGATGACCAGGAACCTAGCCTTCACCACAGCTGCTCCTCAGGAGCCACCAGGCTGTGCTGGGTTTTTGGGCTGAGATTCTGAGTCATCTGATACATCTAAATGACCGTTTTCTCAGCTATGAAATAATAATAATGTCTGCCTCACAGGATCCCTGAGCAGAGCGCCTAAGGATCTGCATTTTCTCAGGAGTACAGTACATACCACCAAGCAGTATAATTGTCAGGTGACCCTAGCGGAGATGACATTTGCTAGAGTTTATTGTACTTAAGTTTGTTTGCTTTCTAGACAGGGTTTTACTATGAAGCTCCTGCCTGGAACTCTGTTAGATCAGGCTGGCCTTGAATTCATAGAGATCCGCTTGCCTCTGCCTCTCAAACACCTAGCAGATATACTCAGCTTTTATGCTCAACAAGGACATTATGATTCTAAGCTGCTGTTCTGGGCTATGCACCCTCTTCCAGCCAAGTGGGACACAATGATAGGCAAAATCTCTCGAGGTGCCAAGCACAGTGCCAATTCCTTTATACAACTGATTTGATGTAGTCCTCTTGACAATCTTACGGTGAGATTTAGTATCATTGTTCTTATTTTATTTATTTACTTAGATTACTCATTTTGTAGATGAGGAAACTGATATTCAACAAGAAAATTGTTCTAAGACACAGAATGTGTAAGTGGTAGAGCTGTATGATTCAGCCTTATATTTGTCTGAATCTGAACCCACCATATCCTGCTCTGACCTTAAACTCAATGTGTAGCCCAGGCTGTTTCTGAACTTGTGATCTCATGGCTCAGCCTCTCAAGTGGGTAGGTAGGATTATAGGCATAATGCCACCACACACAGCCCAAAAGGGGTCATTTACATGTGGTAGATCTAGACCAAAGGGACAGAGCTGGGTACAGTGGTACATGCCTATAATCTCAGCACTTGGGAAGCAGAGGCAGGAAGATTGCCACAAATCAAGGCCAGCCTGGTTTACATAGCAAGTTCAAGGACAGCCAGAGCTACTTAGCAAGACCTTGCCTCTAAAAAGAAAGAAGCTCAGGACTGGAGAGATGGCAGTAAAAACTTGCTGCTCTTGCAGGGGACCTGGTTTGGTTCCCAGCACTCACATCAGACTGCTCACAGCCATCTTAACTCCAGCTCCAGGGACCCAGTGCCCTCTTCTGGCCTCTGTGGGCCTTCGTATACATACATAGACATAAAATAAGGAAAATAAATCTTTTCTTTTTTGCTTTTTTGCCCTTAAAGACAGTGTCTCTCTACCTAGCCCTGGCTGTCCTGAAACTCACGATGTAGAACAGGCTGGCCTTGAACTCACAGAGATCTGCCTGCCTCTGCTTTGTAAGTACTGGGATTAAAGGTGTGCATGTATCACCTAGCCCAAAAATAAATCTTTAAAAAAGAGAAATAAGCAAACAAAGCATGAAAAGGGCAAATTATTGTATATTGTGAGGGTATTTTATTTTCTCTAGGGACTAACCTGAGGTTGCTTTAGATGATTTTATGTGTATGATTTTGTTAAACAGTAGCTGAAGGTTTACAGCTCCCTTACCTTCCCCCTTTCTTCCTGTTGTTTTCAATGTTTAGGTGAAGGAAATCACCCGAGATATTAAGCAGTTAGACCATGCCAAGCGCCACCTGACCACCTCAATCACGACACTGAACCACCTACATATGCTCGCTGGTGGGGTCGACTCCCTGGAGTAAGTGAGCAGTGTGAACTTTCTCAGGGGCCCATGGGAAATGCTCCACGGAAGGACAGTGACTTTATGGAGTTATTCACTTCCAAGTCAAGCCAGCCTCACCGTTCTGCCTCACTTTTGGAGCATTCATCACGAGTGTTCAGTCACTTTTGATGTTCACAACTTAAGTAAGAAAAGAGCTGGGAATGGATATAGCTGAGTGACAGAGTACCTACTTGACATGCTCAAAGCCCTGGGTTCCTCTCAAAGCCCTGGGTTCCGCTCCCAGCACTGCAAAAGACGGCAAACATCTGCTTTAATGAAAAAAAAAAGATGGGCAGGTGACCTGAGGAGGCCACAGAAAGCCCATGAGAATGACCCTGAGAAGTGGGTCATTTGGTGTGGTAGATCTAGACTAGTAAGTCAGAAGGTGATTCAGCTCAGTCACTCCCTAGGACTTCTGCCTTGGCAGCTGCTCCTCCTTCTCTTGGGTTGAGTTGTACCAAACCAAAGTGACCATTTGTAAACAAATCTTTGATGTATCATTCAACCCACTTTTTCCTGAAACCCATGTTTCCAAGATTGTAGCTTTCTGTTTAGCACATTTGGAAACAGTATTAAAAGAAGTTGCTGGTTATTTACCACAAAGCCCTGATTCAAAGCCTCCTCCTCTAGCAGTCCAGCTCCTCGGGTGGGGGTGGGGCTGTTCAGGCTGATTCCCCTGCCCTAGTCATAGTGGACAGACCAGCCATCTTCACAGAAATGCAAGTGTGGCAGAATATCCCCAGAAGGAAGGAGGAGGGGCTATACCATGTCTAGCCTCTGCTATATCATGGATGACAGAGACTCCCTGGTCCATTGCAGGACAGCCAGCCAGTGGGACTGGAAGAATCTTCCTCCTTCTCCTTCCTTCCCACCAGGCATTTTGTATTAGCAGGTAGAGATGACATTGGAGCACCATGGCTTGAACCTGAGCCTTTCCTTGAAATGTCTTGTAAGGGAAGTCTTGAATCACACAATTAATGTGAAAGCCAACCCCAGTGAAAACTTTAGACTTAATAATTGGCACTTCACTGCCATGTATAACTGTTGACTTTTTAAAAGTAATTTATTTATTTTTATTTTATGTACTGTTAGGGTCTGAGAGGAGCCCCCAAAGAAGACTTATCAGTCACGTATGCAGTAACAAGAGCACAATGCCGGGCGGTGGTGGCGCACGCCTGTAATCCCAGCACTCGGGAGGCAGAGGCAGGCGGATCTCTGTGAGTTCGAGACCAGCCTGGTCTACAGAGCTAGTTCCAGGACAGGCTCCAAAACCACAGAGAAACCTTGTCTCGAAAAAACCAAAAAAAAAAAAAAAAAAAAAACAACAAGAGCACTTTATTAATGCCAATGTTGGGGTGACATTTGGCAACCCCTAGAGAAGGTCACACCTTTTAAGCGGAGTTAAGGGATTTCCAGAGAGGAGGGATTAATCTGGGGCTGATTGGTGGAGGAAAGATTAGTATGGGGGCTGATTGGTGGAAGATCCTAATGGTTAGGATCCAGCAGCAGGGAAGGAAAAGCTATCTTTAGTTATCAGGAGACTGGGCGGGGGGGGGTGCCTGCTGAGCCAGCAGAAGGTTGTGTTTTTTGAGGACTGTCTGTTTGACTCTGTCCCTTTTTAATGAGCCGAAACTAAGGCTTAGATTTCTGTCGGCTCCTAGGAGATCCTGGTTTCCCTCCCCAAGTTTTCTCATTCCCCCTACCCCTTGAATAGTGAGTCATCTCGAATCCTGGAGATGCTTTTCCTGGATCTACAGGCTCATATTGCTGTCTCAGAACCATCAGCTGGACCGTAGAGATCTGTGATGGGCATCAGGTCTCCTGGTCGGAACCCGTGGGGCACAGAGGTGGTGTCTTCTCACAGACTTCGCACAACCGAGGCCAGAGTTGTTTCTGCACCTGAGACAGAGCTTATAAGGAGGAAAGAAATCTCTGGTCATCAAAACCAGTCAGCAGTTCTGCCCTAAGATTGGCAGAATGGGCGGTGGCCTGACATACATGATCTCAAATGGGATCAGGCCTAGGGTATAAGGAGAATTGTGAACTCTATAGAGAGCAAAGGGGAGGAGAGACACCCGATCATCACCAGTCTCAAAGGTTAGGTTGGGTAAGGTCTTCTTTAGGGTCCAGTTCATCCTTTCTACCTGGCCTGAACTTTGGGGACAATAAGCATAATGAAGTTCTCGTAGCCTTAACTAGTCTTTGTGTTACCTGAGAGATGAATGCAGGTCCGTTATCTGAGCCCAAGAGCACAGGGAGGCCATACCTCAGGATAATTTCTTCCAGTAGCTTCTTGTCCACCATGGCAGCCATCTCATGCTTAGTTGGGAAAGCCTCAGTCCATCCTGAAAAAGTATAAAAACTGGCAAATATTTATAGCCATACAGGCCTGGCTTTACCTCTGTGAAGTCAGTTTCCCAGTTGGCACCGGGCCAAGTTATTCTTTCCCAGTGTCCAGTCTCGTGACTCCACTTATTCCATTGACGAGACGGCATGTGGGACATTGGCCTACAGCTTCTGCTGTGTTGGCCTCAAGGTCAAAGACCTTAAGATGTGCTCTTTTCAAGAGGCCCTGTATTTTCCCTTCTCCCAAGTGCGTACTTTGCTGTACTTGTCGGACTGGTTGAATGACAAAGTCTGGTGAGGATCCGTTCATCGAGGGTCCTGAACCATCCTTCCTCCTTGTAAGTGTTTGTGCACAAGTTGATTCTTTGAAGATCTTGGTCAGTGTAAGCTGGAAATTCTGGCAACGTGGTGTTACCATCTTTGGTTGTGTGGCCATCAGAATGGCTGCTGTCTGGAGGGCTGCCTCCTTTGCTGCCGTGTCTGCCTGGCTGTTTCCCCTTGACATTGGGTCCTCTCCTTTCTGGTACCCAGAGCAGTGTATGACAGCTATCTCTTAGGGGCAGCCATCGGGCCTGTAAGAGGTCTAAAATCTCCTGTTTGTTTTTAGTAGTCTTTCCTTCTGCAGTCAACAATCCCCTCTCGCTGTAGATGGCACCGTGGACTTGTATCTTGGCAAACACATTCTAGCTATTGGTAAAGAGCTGCCTTAATTTTATCCAAGGCCCTTTCCATCTGTGGGATCCAATCAAGGGGAGTCTTCCTTCCCCACCTTGTGGCCTCGTACAGAGGCTGAGCTAATTCAGCAAACCCAGGGATCTAGAGCCTACATAACCCAGCAGACCCTAGGAATTCACTCACCTCTTGGCAGTTGCTAGGTCTAGAGATCCTTAGGATGGTCTCTTTTCTTGCTTTTGCCCCCCTTGAGTATGTACCCCCAGTAAGTTACCTCAGTCTGGCTGATTTGAGCCTTCTTTGCTGATACATGATACCCCAAGTCTCCCAATGTTTTAAGTAGCTCTTTAGTGGCAGCTTTGCAGGATTTCAAGGTGGCAGCTGCTATCAGGAGGTTGTCCACATACTGTAATAAACTGATGTTGGGGTGGGCTAGTCGGTACTTACCCATGTCTTCGTGGAGTGTTTCATCAAAGATGGTAGGAGAGTTCTTTAACCCTTGCACCCAGGATTGTTTTGGTGACATTTTGCCTAGGGGTTGTTTGGAATGGAGTGTTGTGCTCCCGTATCTACCAGAAAATCTACAGGTTTCTCCTCCCCTTTAGGGTTACCCAAGGCTCAGGGAGGGGCTCGATACCTGTCACCTTTAATCACTTATTTCTTTTAGTTTTAGTACTTTTACTTTTGAGCCCTGTCATTTAGGGCCTTTATTCTTTCAGTGACCCAACTCCCTACAGTAGGCACATTGGTCTTTTTGCAAACTAGGCCTATCCCTGCTTTAGGCCTTTCCCTTTACATGGTGAGTCTCCAAAGGCCAGTGCCTGTCTTCTAACCTGTGGACTGCCTGCGCTTCTAGAAGGACTTTGATGAGCCCCCGTGTCTGTCTTTTTAAAGCTTTTGTGAGCCCCTTAGTCTGTCTGTCTTCTGGGATCTCCCTATTATTGAATACTGTCTCAGCAACCACAATGAGTTCAGCCAACCCCTTACCTTTAAAACCTTTTAGTCTCTGCAACTTACAGTGGTTATCTGGTGCTGACTAGTTGACAAAAGCCAGGCTGATTGTAGACCTATTCTCTGGTGCTTCCCGATCCAAGGGTGTATAGGTCTTATAATCTTCCATCAGCCTCTCTAGGAATACTTTTGGTGTTTCTTCACACCCCTGGCGTATCTGACTAACTTTGGACAAATTTGTGGGCTACCTGTGGCAGCCCAGAGCCCTCCCCATTAGAGTCTGGTGGTAGACTTTCAGCCTCTTCCTACCTTTCTCTATGCTGAAATCCCAATTGGGTTACATCATAGGAAACCCAACATTTATGAGGTCTGTATTGGTGGCTGGTCTTCCATCTGGGCCTGGAACCAATTTCCAAGCCTCTCTTCTGATTGGCCCCTCTCCTCAGTAGTCAAGAGGACCTGGAGCTGTTGGAAACAATTATCCCACGTGGTCTGCTGAATGAAAAGGACAGAATCCATCAGGTCAACTAGCCTTGCAGGCTTCTCTGCTTTAGCCAGACATTCTTTTTTTTTTTTTTTTAAATATTTATTTATTTATTTATTACGTATACAGTATTCTTCCTGCAGGCCTCATTATAGATGGTTGTGAGCCACCATGTGGTTGCTGGGAATTGAACTCAAGACCTTTGGAAGAGCAGGCAATGCTCTTAACCGCTGAGCCATCTCTCCAGCCCTAGCCAGACATTCTTACTCAGACAATCTTCTCTTTCCTTTCTCTTCTCTTTATTATTTTAGTTTTCTGCATTTTTTTCAGATAACATGAAAACTTTTATCAAAGTCCTTCTTGTGGTTTCCTTTAGTAATCTAGAATATTGCATACCTATAATACTTTAAACAAGAAAGGCAGTGTCAGAACACTAAAGGGTTAGGGCGAAGTAACTGGCAGCAAGGACCTTGAACCATAGTGAAGAATTGGGCTCAGGAAGGAAGGGAGAGGGGAGCGCAGTAGTTACACCAGCTCGCAGGCAGAGTGCTGCCTGGCAGTCAGTATCCTGCAGGTTCTCTGTCAGGCACCCAAAGTCCTGCCATGTCCTTATCAAACATGCCTCCACCCCTTCAGACAATGAGCCCCAAGTCAGCAGCTTGGGTTTGAAAGTCCCTGGAATGCTCCAAAATAAGATTTAGGGGAAGAAGTTGAGTTTTACTGACCTGCTCCTAGGAGAAGTAGCGAGGTAACATTACAAACAGAAGACACAAAAATAACACTGACAGAAATGTACCATGAAAAAGAAACCAGGAACCAGAACGGGCTGATGGCATGTCTCCTTAGGGAGTTCTGTGGGTGCTGGGAATTGAATCTGGGTCCTCTGAAAGATCCCAGTGCTCTTAACCACAATCCTCTCGCCCGCCTGTAGCTGTTGGTTTTATCAGCATCTTTTACTTAAGTTTCATGTTACCCTTGGCAGTAGAGCAAGCCGGCCTCTCTGGTGCCATTGTTTATCATTGGCTTAAAGCTGCAGATTGTAGTTAGCTTGGAATCACAAACAGTCATCCCCTTTTGTATTCTAGAAAAATGGCTTGGTTCTCCCATGCACCACAATCCTCAGTGACATACAACGCTCCCTTAAAATCTCGCTTCTGACACAATGCCAGCTCAAACCAATAGTCTGCCCAGAGTCCCCTCTTGCCACCCAGTGAGCACCCAACAGACACATTCCTTTGTGCCCCATGGCATATAGCTTACACTGCTGTCGTAGTTTACCTTCCTTCAGTGCTTACTTGACACTCCCTTACTTGAGTGATGCCACCTGGAGAGTTGGAGTTAAGTCCTTGTCTTTTTCCTTCCCCAGTGCTCAGCACCATATATATCCAGCACTTGGGACGTTTCATTAAATCTGGCTGCTGCCTGTTTTAGAGGTCATCCCACATCTCTATCTTGTGTCTTCAGTGTTTGGTTTCTAGTTCTCAACTTCTATCCTTGCAGAGCCATGACCAGGCGCAGACAGTATGGAGAAGTTGCCAACCTCCTTCAGGGCGTGATGAATGTTCTGGAGCACTTTCACAAGTATATGGGAATCCCACAGATCCGGCAGCTTTCTGAAAGGTAAGATGTCCTTACAGACAATGCTTTTTCCATAAGAAAAGATGGCTCCACATGTTTTCCCCCTTATTCTGGTAAGCAGCTTCAAATGTTACGTGAGCTCACTCTCCGATACCCTTTAACTCGCCTTTGGAGGCTGCCTGGGTCAGAAAGTCCACTCGTGTGTATGTTAATATGCGCAGCTCTCCGTCGTCTACAGAACTTGTTGGACTAAAGCAGTTATTTTGCTCATGAAACTTGGCCAGGCTTGGGTAATAATTCATGTCTGCTCCATGCACCATCAGTTAGGGCAGCTGATGACGGGACCCGAGGAGCCATTGGCTGCTATGGCTGGCACTTGGTGTTCACTGTCACCTCAGCCAGGCTGTGGACCGGGATCCCTGTTCTCATGAGCTACTCAGGCATTCTCGTAGTGAGGCAGCTGGGGCACTGTTGTTATCCCGTCCTCTTAGGCAGGCCTGCCTGTTACGTATTTCTCTTCTCTTATGTTTCTTTATCTAACTATACAAGTAATATAAATATGCATTTTCTTTTATTTAAAAAGTCTAAACTAGATGTGGGTGGCTCACATCTATAACCCCAGGACCCAGGTGGTTGAGCTCGAGAACTGGCCTGAGTTTGAGGCCAGCCTAGGCCTTAGGATGAGAAGACAAAAAGTGAACAAACAGGTGTGTCAGAATTCCTTTAGCTTCATTTCGAATGCTCTGGCACTTCCTGGAAGGAGTAACTGCTATCAGCTTATTGGGTCTCCCTTTAGATTGTCGCCTGTCCACTACACTGTGTTTGTAGAACTGCCTCTTTCCGCGTGTGGACTGCCATAGGATAGCTTGTCCCAGGCTAGTTAGCTGTTTCCATATCCCTGAATTCCTTATTCTGATTCTCAGGAAATACCTCCTTTCACACATGTGCAAGTAGAGTAGATTCTGGGTCCTCAGGTTATATGGATTTGAAGTTTTAAGAACCATAGCTCATTTTTTTTTCCAAAAAAAAAAAAAAGCTTAATAGGTACACAGAACCATCTGGAAGTGCTTGAGGACCTGTTTCTCCATCCCTCACCAAATTAGGTGTTGTTTGTTTTCATTTTATTCAGTCTGGTAGATGAAAGTCATTACCTGCTCCCTTTAATTTTAATTTCCTCAATAACTCATGATCGACTCTTTATATTTTCTTTGTGAAGTATCTTTTTCTTTGCTTTGTTTTGTTCAGTGTCTTACTGAGCATGTAGGGTAAGGATGCAGATACTACTCCTGGCAATCACATTACTGTGATTTGAGCCAAGTAGAGGTTACCTTCAGAGCTCCCTTCTTGTCTTTATATTTTCTTAGGTTTTAGATTTATTTTTTTTCATTTTATTTGTACGAGTATTTTACCTCTGTCTATGTGTGTGCACTATGTGTGTTCCTGGTACCTGTGTTGGTCAGAAGAGGACTTTGGAAGTATAGGTAATTGTAAGCCACCGTGTGGGTGTTGGGAACTGAACCCAGGTTCAATGCAGGAAGAACAAAGTGCTCTTAACTGCTGAGCATCTCTCCAGTCTCTGTCTTTTCATTTTTGAGTAGGTTTTGTTATTTTCTCCTTTAGTCTTCTTCTACCAGGAAACCCACAGACTACCTAGTCTATCACCCACTTTCTTGTCTGACTTTTGACTTCTGTTTAAATCCTTTCATAATTTCTAAGAATTTGAGGCAGGCAGGCTGGATGGTGGTGGTGCACGCCTTTAATCCCAGCACTCAGGAGGCAGAGGCCTCTGTGAGTTCGAGGCCAGCCTGGTCTACAGAGAGAATTCCAGGACAGGTTCCAAGCAACACGGAGAAACCCTGCCTCGAAAAACCAAAAAAAAAAAAAAAAAAGAAAGAAAGAAAGAAAGAAAAAAAAGAAATGAGGTATGAGGTAGGCAGGGGAGGTTGCTTCATATGCTGGGTATACTGTCTTACAGTGGAGATGTCGAGGGATTGTTAAGGAATGTCGGAATAGGTTGGCAAAGCGCTAGGGAAATCACCACCCTTTCCCTCATCCTTCCTAACCTCTTTACACTTAGAGGTGGCTGATTGCCATATCAGACTGGGAATGTGAACAGCCAAGAATGTCCATGAGCAAGACTTGATGAGCTTAGGAAAGGACCCACGGATGGAGGAAGCAAGCCTGCTCTCAGTGGGTAGGGAGGAGCAGGAAGGGAGCACAACATGCTCTAGTCTTGGGGTGACTCAGAGTGATCTGTTGCCGTTCCTGTCTTCTGTCTTTCATCCCCCTAGCATACATGTACTGTGTGCTTACTGTAGTCTAGGCCCTGCGGATACTAAGCACATGCTCTTCCACTGAGCCATAGCCCAGCCCTTCCAGCCCCCCCCCCCCCAATTTTTCTGATCCATAGTTAGATTGATATGGCAGTGCAGGCCCGTGGCCACTGAGAGCAGCTGTATTTGACTTTAGATTTTAAGAGCCTGCACCTAAGAGAGATCTCACCATATTTATCTTTCTGTGTCTGGTTTATTTCATTTACTCTTAAGTCCTCCAGGTTTATCCATGTTGTTGCAGATGTCAGCATCTTCTTTTAAAAAGCTCTTTAAAAGCTGGATAAAATCCCACTGCATGTATGCACCACAGTTCTTTAACCCATATTTGTCCATCAAAAGACACGTTTGTTTCTGTGTCTTAGCTGTTACAAACTTATTGCTGTGAACCAGGCAGGGCAGCTATCTGTAAAGAGGGCGGATTTCATCTCCTTTGGGTAGATTCATTTGGGAGTTTTTGAGAACTTCATATCATTTTCTGTAATAGCCTCACACTTAAGGTCTCTGCCAGTTGTATTAAAGTGTTCCCATCCCACACCCTCATCAACACTCACCGTTTTTCCTTTCAAGGTTAGTCATTCTGGTGGCCTGTAGTCTCAGATTTGGAGGCAAAGATGGGAGGGTCAGAATTCGCTACAAGTGAGACTTTATCTCAGCGAGGCTGGTTTTCCTAAATTTATTTGTGTGTATGTCTGTGTGAGTGTATGTGCACATGCATGTGTGGGTACTTGTTGGATCCCTTAGAACTGGAATTAATGATGAGCTGCCCAGAATGGGTGCTGGGATCTGAGCTCAGTCCTCATGACTGAGCAGCAAGTGCTCTTAACCACTGAGCTATCTCTCCAGCCCCTCATTGGTTTTAATTTTTATTTATTTGCTTATTTATTTGTTTGGTTTTGGTTTTTTTCCTATTTACTAATTTTTTTTGTTGCCTTTATTGTGCTATACATTTTTCTCCGCTCCTCTCTTTTCCTCCCCTTCCCCCTTTTACCCTCTTCCACGACCCCCATGTTCCCAGTTTACTCATGAGATCTTGTACTTTTCTCTTTTCTGTTTAGATCCTGGTTTTGGTTTTTTTGAACAGGGTCTCTCTATGTAGTTCAGCCAGGAACTTGCTTTGTAGACCAGGCTGACCTCGAACTCACAGACATCCGCCTGCCTCTGCTTCCCAAGTGCTGGAATTAAAGGCATGCAGCACCACAACTGGCTTCTTTTTTGGGATTTTGTCTTGCACATCTCTGGAGATGAAGTAATGTTGGACATTTTTTTCATATACCCTATTGATTTTTTATGTCTGCCTTGAAAACAGTGCCTATTTAGATCATTTGTCTGGTTTTAAGAATTACATTTATTTTATTTTGAGGTTGGTGGTGTTTGTGAGTCATGGCATGCAACAGAGGCCAGAGGATAACTTTTGGGAGTCAATCCTCTTCTTCCATAGTGTGAGTTCCTTGGGTAGGACTCAGATTCTTGGGTTTGTGTCAGAAACCTTTTCCTAAATGACTGACAGGCCTCTGTCTGTCTGTCTCTCTTTTTCCTTCCTCCCTTCTTCCTTCCTTTTTTTTTTTTTAAAGACAGGGTCTTAGAAATTCCAGGATAGCCTCAGACTCTCTATGTAACTGAATATGATCTTGATTTTCTGATCCTTCCCCCCAGCACCTTCTGAGTGCTGCAACTCAGACCTGTGCTCCCACGCCTGGTCATGAGGTGCTGGAGCCTGAACCCAGGAGCAGCTGGCTATTCAGGCACTCCACCCACCAAGTATATCTGACCCCATTTGTTGTCTTTATTTGGTCATACCCAAGCTCTTTCTATATTTTGGATACTAACCTTAGTGAGCTATGCAGTTCCCAATGTTTTCTCCTGATTCTTTGGCTGCCTGTTCATTTTGTGGATTCTCACCTTTGCTGCACACAAGCTCTCTTTACTTTGAGACAATTCTATTGCTTTGTTCTTTTTCCTTTTTGCCTGTGTTCTTGGTGTACTATTTACTTTTCCAAAAAAAAAAAAATGTTGGTTTTTTTTTCAGGCTGGAAAGTTGGCTCAGTGATTAAGAGCATTTATTGCTCTTGCAGATGACCTAGGTTCAATTTCAAGTACCCACATGGCAACTCATACCAAGTATGCATTTGGTGCACAGATAAACATGCAAAAATAAAGAAAAAAAGGAAAACATGTACACACAATAACAATAGACTAAATAAATCTTTAATTTCTCAAAGGTATAGTTTTATAAATTCGAAGAGACTTAGGACTGTTGAGTGACATTTTCTTAAAACAGTGGTTCTCAACCTTCCTAATGCTACATCCCCTTAATACAGTTCTTCATATTGTGATGACCCAACCATAAAATTATTTTCATTGCAGCTTTATAACTGTAATTTTGCTAGTGTTATAATTGTAATGTAAATTTCCAATGGTCTTAAGCAACCCCAGTGAAAGGATTATTTGACAACCCCTGAAGGGGTCTTGACCCACAGGTTGAGAACCATGTCTTAAAGCGAGGGCTGGAGGGAAGGAGCCCTTTAATCCATCCTGCAAACTTTGAGTTTGTTCTTAGTTTAAACCTGTGTTTGTGATAGTCTGTCAGCACAGCACGCCCTAGTCTGCAGCTCCAAGAGGAATGCGGTGGGAGAGCTGCTTGCTTGCAGTGCTCCGCTGCCGTCAGCTTTCAAAGAGGTGCTAACATTTGGAGCCAACTCCAGACTTCCTATTTTTAGCATCATTCTGGTGAATTGTCCTCCCTTATGTTTATATAGTGATGGTGGAACCATCTGGAAATAATCGAAATAGCTGTTCAGAGGGAGGCAGGAAAGCTGAGTGACCCTGTGCATTGCTCAGTGTAATGCCTTCTGTCTATAAATTGCAGAAGTCATATGCAGGGTTGCATTCTCCAGTCTTTGCCTGTACATTTGAAGTATGAAGTTTATGGGTCTTGATTTGCTATTTCTTTCAACTACCCTTCTGGCAAATGCCTAGATATTTATGTAGTATTAAAGGAAAGATTTTTTTCTTTAATATCTTTACATTTCAAATTCTCTTGGCTTAAGCATATCTATGAAAGCAAATGCTTCTAGTCAGTCAGTATTTCCTAAGAAAGAATGGGAGATTCTTGCATTTCTTTATAAAAACAAAACAAAACTTTGAAATCCTTAAGTTCCCCCCCACCCGCCCCCAGAGCTATGTCTAACCTCTTACTTGAGAGAGAAGCCTGGCAGGTTGGGAAGTCACATGATGTGGTAGGAAAAAGAATGGAGAGGTCTGACTAGTGTTTGACAGTTCTGTCTGGGCCTCCTCAGATTAAGCTGTGAGGGCCACATTACAGGATCTCAGTGCCTCCGGCCAGGTCTCTGTGTCATTCTAGGCTGAGAGTCTTGGTAGCACTATTACATTGTAGTGTTTGACTAATCCCTTCCATTCTGTGAAGGCATCAGGTGGGGGTCAGTCCACTTATTTCAGGGCCGTGGAGAGGATTTCCTAGACTGTCAGAAGATAATGGATATACCCTGCTATTTCCTGCTATTCTTTTCTGTAAAACTCTACTTTTCCTACTTTGTTGTCCTTCTGTCACCACTGCTTCCTTTTTTGTTATTGTTGGGTTTTTTTGTTTTGTTTTGTTTTTCAAGACAGAGTTTTTCTGTAGCTTTGGAGCCTGTCCTGGAACTCACTGTGTAGACCAGGTTGGCCTCAAACTCATAGAGATCTGCCTGCCTCTGCCTCCTGAGTGCCAGGAGTAAAGGCGGGCACCACCACACTCAGCTGCTGGAAGGACCTTTTAATCCTTCCTGCTGCACATTAGTTGGTGGGCTGATGATGAGTCTGTCGGCTTATTTCTAGGATCCTGTGTAGACAATTGATTGTTGCGTTAGTTTCTATTACTGTGAGGAAATAACAAAGAAAAGCAGCTTAAAAGAGGTAATGGTTGCTGGACTAGTGATGTGATGCATGTTTTTAGTCCCAGCACTCTGAGCCAGAGGCAGGTAGATCTCTTTGAGTTTGAGGTCAACTTGATAGGGCGCCACTCTGTTGTAATAAAAGCAGCGGGCCGCTTCCCGCCACCCGGCTAGCTTTACCCAAAATAATTACACGGAAACTGTATTCTTTTAAACACTGCCTGGCCCATTAGTTCCAGCCTCTTATTGGCTAGCTCTTACATATTAATCTAACCCATTTCTAATAATCTGTGTAGCCCACGAGGTGGCTTACCAGGGAAGATCATAACCTGCGTCTGTCTGGAGTGGGAGAATCATGGCGACTCTGACTCAGCTTCTTTCTCCCAGCATTCTGTTCTGTTTACTCCGCCTACCTAATTTTATGTCCTATTAAAGGGCCAAGGCAGTCTCTTTATTTAACCAATGAAATTAACATAAAACAGAAGACTCTCCCCCATCACTGATATACATAGCAAGTTACAGACCAGCAAAGGCTACTTGGAGACCCTATCTCAAAAAAAGAAAAGAAGAAGTAAGGCTTATTTTGTTTCATGGTTTCAGTCCATGGTCACTGACTATGATGCTTCTGGGCAACATAGATAAGGCAGAGCATCATGTAGGGAGTGCATGGTAGAGCAGGGTGGCTCACCAAGGATCTGAGAACAAAATACACGCCCATTTTACTGGCTCAGCCTGACATGCCCACCCCAGCCAGAGACAGACTTCTTCAAACCATGCTCCATTTCCCTGCTCCATCATTTCTCAATAACCCCATCAACGATGAATCTCTCAGTGGTTTAGTTCGGTGGTGAAGTTCATCTTCATGGTCCAATCACCTCTCAGTAACACCACCTGAAGACTAAGCCCTCAACACAGGAGCCTTTTGTTACTCATTCATAAGCTGTAACCATTATAGAAGCTGTGGCTCAGCAGAAAATATCTGTGTATGTGATCTCTCTTTGTCAGTAATGTCTCTAGGGGATAGCTGCTCCTTCATCTCAGTCACTGGGAGACAACCATGGCTGCAAACAGTTCTAGGCGGAAGCTTATTTTTCTGCCCTAATGTTAATGATAAATCCCTCTTGCTACCACTTGTAAAAGTGAGTACTGTTGCCAGCTAAAACAGTAAGCTGGTTGTTGTGAAATTATCAGTACTGGAAACACACTGAAGTCCTCTAGCACAGGCCTCTATCCTCACCCCCTTCTCCTTCCCTCCCTCCCTCCCTCCCTCCCTCCCTCCCTCCCTCCCTCCTTCCCTCTTTATGTATATTTGCCCTCAGAGGCCAGAAAAGACTGTCAACTCCCCTGGAATCATAGTTACAGACAGTTGTGAGTCACCTGGTATGGGTCCTAGGAACCAACTTTGGTCCTCTGGAAGAGCAGCAGTTTCTTAACTGCTGAACCATCTCTCCAGCCCCTTTCACAATGGTTCTTAGTTGTGGCCCACTTAGAGGAAGTAACTTATTACATGCAGTTTTTTAGTGGCACAGCTAAGTCTATCTGGTCTCAAAGGTAACTTTAAACATTAGAAATCATTACAGATGGGAACCTGGAATTCCCTTTCCTTTGTACTCCAGTGCCAAGACCGTATGTACTTTGGTTGTCTTTCCAGCCACTGTAAGAACATAGAGGTTGGGACTGTAGTAGAGTAGAGTGGAGGTAGCAGAGAAAGAGCTGAGCCCAGCAGCCTCATGGAGGGTCAGTGGCCCTGACCATGCATACATCTGGTCAGGGGTGGGCCTCACCTACAGGATTTGTCCTGTGCCTCAAGAAAGAACTGGTGCTGTCTTTGCAGTTCCAAGAAGAGGGTCAGAACAGAGGGGCGTGAGCATCCGGATCTCTGCCTTGTGACCAGGCCCACCGGAGACAGCCTGCTGGCTCACTCTGGGGAGTGGCAAGATGCTCCGAGGAGCAGTTTTATGAAAGCGCATTCTTTTCTCTCACATCAGACTTCACACTCAGGAGGTTTCCAGACGTCTCCTGGGCAACTCCAGGTGGGGGTGGGGTGGATTCCAGCATTGCCTTATCTTGAACACAAACTTAAAAGAATACAAACTCACCTGTAGTAACGGTTTGGAACATTTGAAGACAGTGGAAAACCCTGGAAAGTATTTGGGATCAGACTTGATTATAACTATGGCACAGGAAGAAACTGAGTGTTCTGGGTCATGTCTATGCTCTCGTTAAAACATAAGATCTCAGCCACTTGCCAGGTTCTCCTCAATAGCCAAAGAACTTGTGGTTTTAGATTGTTCACTATTTCTAGAAACTTTATAAAATCGATCCAGAAGTTGCAGGGTGGAGTTCAAGCAAGGAGGCATGCTGTTTCATGGTGCTTTTGGCAAAGCACACCTTTACGTCAGGCTCAGGGAGGTCCAGAGCTGCCCAGGAGCCTGGACAAGCCGGGCGTCACTAGCAGAGGCAGCTGGCGGGTACAAGGAGGACACAATGGCAGCGCTTGCTGATGTGCACTTCCTGTTTCAGCCGAGCTGCTTCTCCTTTTCTCCTTTCAGTCAGGCTGGCTGTTTCTTGAGCACCAGCATTGGTCCTGCAGATCCATCAAGAAGCAGCCCACCCCAGCCCTCTACGCGTTTTCCCTCACATTCTCCTGAAGCTCCATCTCCACCCAGTGTACATCACTTGTTTGGCCTGTCTTGTCTTGTTTTGCTGTGTGAGAGAGACATGGTCTTGAAGTACATTTCCTTGGTCAGGCTTTCAACTTGCGACCCTCCTGCCTCGGCTTTTTCAGTGCTGGGATTACAGATGGTGCCCTTTGCTCTTAAACAATAGTTTATTGATCAACTGGCTCTTTTTCTTTCACCTTAGAGATTTCTTTTTGTAATTTGCTTTAAATATTAGGTTTCTGAATTAAAATATAAGAAGCAAATATAAAGTCACTCTGAAACAGTCTGAACCACTCTTCCCACTCTGTGCCTGTAGGATGGGAAACAGTTGTTTTAGTAATCTGACAGATTTATGTACGCTTGGGGTGCTGGTATATAATATTTCCCTGCAGTATAACCACCCCCAAATGAAATTTTGTGAGGCTCAGCATATATACATATACATATATATATACATATATGTATACACAGTAGGTAAAGGTGACCTAGAACTGTATCCTGAAGGGCTGAGAGCATAGCTCAGTGGCAGAGCACTTACCTCTCATGTTCAAGGTCATAGGTTCAATCCTTAGCACTGCAAAAAAAAAAAAAATCCATTCTGAGATGCCTGTATCCCTGCTTCTGTGTAACCTCTCTTGCTTCTGCGTGACCTCTCTTACCTAGCTGTACATCTCTTTTCCTTCTTTCCCAGGTGATCACCTACGGAGTCCTAGAGACTTTAACAGTTCCTGACCCCGTGGATCCATTGTATACAGGAATTTGAAAATGTTGTCAGTTGTTAATACAGTCCCTTTTTCCCCCAGGGTGAAGGCTGCGCAGACTGAGCTAGGACAGCAGATCCTGGCTGATTTTGAAGAGGCGTTTCCTTCACAGGGTACCAAGGTACTGGTCTGCGTTTTCCCTCCAGTCTTTAGTTTTCCCACTGCTCATACTCCATCTGGTAGTGTGAGATGTGTGAGTGGTGATGCACGTGGTTTGATCCCAGAGGTGCTGGCTGGCACAGGCCAGCTGTCTGCCGACTCTGTTTTAAGTATCACGATGCAATGCTGACCATTGATCTGTGTCCTTCCAGCCTCAGAAAGAGGACTTGGGCCAGGAGTGTAATTTGGGTGGTAGAGTACCTACCTAAGCTCGCATGAAACCTGAATTTGATCACTAGCCTACATAAATTGGGTATGGTGATGCATGTCTGTAATCTAAGCCCTAGAAAGATGGAGGCAAGAGAATCACAAGTTCATCCTTGCCTACATACTGAGCTTGAGGCCAGCCTGGGCTACATGAGATCCTCCCTCTGAGGGAAAAAAATATGAGGATTCTTTTGGTTTAATTTAATGTTTGTCAAATCTTGCATTTTATCTGCTCTATAAATTCACATTTTTCCCTCATAGCTGTGCTTAAAAAAAACAAAAAACCTTCAAACCACAGTGTTTTTTAGAATTGTTACATAACACTGGCTTTGGTTTGGTGAGTAGACAACTGGGAGGCGTGTCTAGGAGCTTATGTAACTCATGACACAATCCAGAGATCACTTTTAACGATGGGAATCCTCTTCTCTGGGATCTTCGAGCTCGCTGGTGGTGGAGCTGTCTCTGTTGTGTCTGCGAGGCCTTCGCTTTCACTTGGGAGCTGTTGGGTGGATATCTCACACAGGCTTCCCTCCCTTGGCTGCCATTGTGCTGGGAAACTGCTGTTAGCTCCATCCTTCACATTGCAGCAGATGTCATCTTAATGCCTTGCATGTGTCGGGGAGGGCAGAGCCCGCAGAAGCTTGTTTTCTCTATTATTTGAGCTGTTTCAAGAGAAAGCATTGTTGAAGGCAGAAGCGAAGCCGAGCACATGGCCAGCAGCATTCCTCACCGGGCTATGTGGGTGGAGATGGGGATGGATATACATTCACTCGTGAGCCAAGGAGCATTTCCTGCATTTGCTCCAGAATTCAATAACTGGAAATATCTTAATCGCTTTTCCTTTGTGCTCTGTATTAGGAAGTAGGTGGGGATGGCAACCCTGGCTCTGATAGACTGCTTTCTGTAGGCGACCAGCTCCTAACCTTAATGCCTTTGTGTTTTCCAGCTGACTGCCAGGAATCTGATAATCATTTGTGAAGCACTTTGCTTCTTTTAGTCACCTGATGTAACTCAGGAAAGGCATAGATTGGAAAGCCATTATTCCTCATGGCCCTCTGAGGAAAACGAAGTTCTCAGAAGCAAAAAGGGATTGCCTGGCTGGTGGCTGCTATTTTAGACTAGTGCTAGTTGTAAATAGTAGACTTCCCAGGCAACTGCTTTCGTGTGCTCGCTGCCCCATCCCATTGCACGGTGTTTCAGAAGGATGTGGGTGAAGGGTCTTTACTGTTTGCCCATCATCTGACTATGGCCTGCTTTCTACCTTTCTCCCAGGTCCCAGGGGGCATATGAAGTTAAAAGGGTTTAACGACCCGACTTCCTTTTCTGACTGTTACTTAATGGGATATTGTTAAGTTTTCTTTTTCCGTTTTTAAAGACTATTGATTTTTCTAAAAGGCCTTGTGTTTGAAAATCCTGGTTTGAAAATTTGAACCAAAACTTTTTTTTTAAAGTATTGATTAGTGGTGTGCCTGTCATGCCAGCCAGCATCCTAGAGATTGAGGCAGGAGGATCATGAGTTAGCTCAGACTATACAGCAAGGTCTATGCCAGTCTGAGCTACACAGGAAATATTCTTCCTTAAGAAAAAAAATTAATTAACAATTTAAAATGAAATATCCAAATGTGGTGGTTTGAAGGAGAATGGTCCCCATAGGCTCATGTGTTTGAATACTGGTCCCTGGTTGGTGGAAGTGTTGTGAAGGATTAGGAGGTGTGACCTTGTTGGAGGAGATGTGCCCACTGGGTGAGGGTTTTGTGGTTTCAAAAGTTCGTGCCATTCCTGGCTCCCTCTTCACCTCCTGCTTTTGAATGAGGATGTAAAGTCTCCTGCTCCAGTGCCGGGCCTTCCTACCTGCTGCCATGCTGGAGCCATGAACACCAATCAGCTCTCTCTTCTCTGAGTTCCCTTGTTTATGGCGTCTCTTCACAACAATAGAAAAGTAACTAAGACACCAAGATAATTTAGTAACTTTTTTTTTTTTTGTAAATGAGAAAATTTGAACCTCTGAACCTCTATGTTTTGGTGTCCATGACTTGTCAGTGAGTTCAAGCATTTTCATCCTGAACCCAGAGTTAAACATTCTGTGTATTCAGAGGGCAGCAGGGTTCAGAGTAGAGCAGGTCACATTGTAACAGTTTGGGTCTAGGCACCTTGTCTGATATTTGAACATCAATTGAGATGGACAGACTTGATAGAAACAAACAATCAGGAAGGCTTTGGAAGAACTTCTGCTCATCCTGATTTAAGCCAATTGCTTTTCAGGTGAGGCTGAGTAACTTCTGCCAAGTCACCAGGCTATGTAGTAAACCAAGAGCTTCCAAGGGTTCTTTGTACTATAGGGATCCTGGTCAGCACATATATTCAGTGATGCATTAGCAGCAGGTCAATGAGATGCAGTTGCTCTGGTAGTAAACAAGGCCCTTCTTAGCTGCTGTATCCTTACAGCCCTTCCCCACCTCCACCCTTCAGGTCAGGGAACCAGTGTCTCAGTATTTCACCTTTGGCAGTCTGTCTGGGTGATTGGCCATCAGTGAAACGAGTCTGGTGGTTTGGAATTTAGTGTGAGTTTTTTAAACCACCACCCTCTTTGTCGCAATTATAGCTCTTTTTTTTTTTTTTTTTTTTTTTTTTTGGTTTATCAAGGCAGGATTTCTCAGTAGCTTTGGAGCCTGTCCTGGAACTAGCTCTTGTATGCCAGGCTGGTCTCGAACTCACTGAGATCTGCCTGTCCCTGCCTCCCAAGTGCTGGGATTAAAGGCGTGCACCACCACTGCCTGGCCGCAATTATAGCTCTTTAAGAACAGGAATAACAGCTGGGCATAGTAGGGCATGCCTGTGATCCCAGCACTTGGCAAGCTGAAGGAGAAGGACCCTGAGTTTGAGGCCAGCCTGGGCTACATAGCAAGGCCTTGTCTCAAAGCTGGCAAGCAGGCAGGCCAGCTAGCAATAGCAGACAAAACAACAGGGAGCCTAGGAAGGTTGGAAGCAGGAAAAATGGTACATGAGAGCCACAATGACTTTGGGGACCCTTCAATATAATCTCTGTTGTCATTCTGGCTTTTTAGGTCATTTCGGTTTTGCTACACGGAAAGTAAAATTTCCTGTGATCTTTGCTGGCTCTGTTTTCTTGAATGTCTCACTGTTGAGTCACAGGCTGGCTTTTAGGTTGGCTACTGTTCTTTTCTCGAAGAACCGGTGACTAAGATATCAATCTACTGAAGCAAGACTGGATGTCCAAGGAGAGGAGTACTAACTCCCTTGTGAGAGACAAGGAAGAAGCAGCTGTTACAGGCCAGGAGAGAGAGGTGCAGGTACTTCTGCTGTTTAACTGGTATATGCTGTTTGTTTTACCAGAGGCCAGGAGGACCCAGCAATGTCCTGAGAGACGCATGCCTGGTGGCTAATATCTTGGACCCCAGAATCAAACAGGAAATCATCAAAAAGTTTATTAAACAGCATCTATCAGAGTATCTAGTACTTTTTCAAGAAAACCAAGATGTAAGTATTGGCCATATGAAACGATTTAATTTTACTGAAAAGGAAACTAATGCTGCCAAGCCTCCTGACTTATGCTTTACTAGTACAATTAACTATTGGATAGCCTTGTGCCCTGAGCCACAGATCCCCAGGCTGACTTTACAGGCTAGAGGATCTTCACTGACCATTCGGAAAAATTAATGAAAGCTGTCTTCTCCCCCAGAAGAATGCACTTGTGTGTAACACTTTCCATACAGAAAAAGCACTCAGAGCCCTGGTGCCAGCCATGGACCCTAGGTGGAGAACTAAATCCAGTTAAAGTAAATAGCATGGTATAGATTCTCTTAAGTGGGAGAAAGATGGAGGTCGGCTGCCTTTCTTGGGTCCTAGTTTTTGCTTGTTATTCTGAGCACTGAGTGGTTTTGCTCCTCCCTTCATGAGGTCGCCTGGCTGGACAAAATTGACAGACGTTATGCCTGGGTGAAGCGCCAGCTTGTGGACTATGAGGAGAAGTATGGTCGGATGTTTCCGCGGGAGTGGCACATGACGGAGAGGATCTCAGTGGAATTCTGCCATGTGACGAGGTAACTCTCAGCTGTCTCCTGCTCACAGGCCTGACGTACGGTTTCATGTGATTGAAAATTTGAAACTATGGGTCAGATATTGGTGCCCACCTTTAATCTCAGCATTTGGGAGGCGGAGGCAGGCAGATCACTGGGTTTGAGACCCTGGGCTACATAACAAGTTCCAGGCCAGCCAGGAACTTTTTTTTTTTGTCTTTTTTTGGGGGGGGGCATGTCTCAGAACAAACACATAGAGATGTAAATATAGTAATAACCACATTATCAGATTTATATTGTAAATCTTGATGCATTTTTACTGGGAAATAACTTCACCAAAATTTTTATTTATGGTGTGTATAGTCTCCCTATGTCTCTCCATGGTTGATGCTAGAAAGAAACAATTCATGAGTTTTAAAGTAACTTTTATTACAATTTATTGTTATAATTGTTGATTTATCATAAATTATAAATTATGCTCTTATTGTGCCTCATTTATAAATTAAACCCCTCCATAGAGACATGTGTGGAAAAAGCATAGCATGTGTAGGGCTGTGTACTACCTAGGTTTCAAGTGTCTGAGGAATGTTCTTAGACTGTGTCCCCTGCAGAAGGAAAACTGGTACCTTTCTAGTCCCAAGGCTTTGACTGAGTTGGTAATAGACTTCAACGTTTGAAATGATCCTGTACATTTTTTCCTAAATGAAAGGTATTTCCTTTCACACACATATACACATGCTTGTATTTTGTATTTTATTTTAAATTTTATTATATTTTATTTTTTTTGTTTCTGTGTGTAGCCCTAGCTGTCCCTGGAACTTGCTATGTAGACCAGACTGGCCTCGAATTCACAGAGATCTGTCTGCCTCTGCCTTCTAAGTGCTGGGAGCATGTATTTTTTAAAATACATATTTCTTTTTGATTTATGTGTATATGTATATCCTGCATGTAATATGTGCCCATGTGCATGTTTGGTGTCATGGAGGCCATAAGAGGGCAGCAATTCCTTTGGAACTGGAGTTATAGATGGTTGTGAGCTATCATGTGGTGCTGGCAACTGAACTGGGTCTTGTGCAAGAACAGCAAGTGCTCTTAGCTGACTAACCATCTCTCCAGCCCCTTTGTCATAAATGAATAAAAGATGTCTTTTTGATGGCAGTCTTCTCTCTTTACTTTGAAGGACAGAACTTTCCAAAATCATGCGAGCCAGAGCTAAGGAAATTGAAGTGAAATTGCTTCTTTTTGCAATTCAGAGGACAACTAACTTTGAGGGGTTTCTTGCAAAACGCTTCTCCGGTTGCACCCTGACAGATGGAACCCTGGTAAGAACTTCCTGAGGGAGCTGGATCTGGGTACCAGAGGCTGGGGTAGCCTGACTTCATTCACTGTTTCTCTGTAAAGTGTGAACATCATCATCCTTGGCTCTGGTCTCTAGTGACCCTTTCCTCTCCACTCCCCGAGCTGGGGCCACAGACACATGCCACTGTGCTCAGTGACCCTTTCCTCTCCGCTCCAAAGGAGCTGGGGCCACAGACACATGCCACTGTGCTCAGGTGTAGTTATTTTTAACAAGGGACGTAGACCAAATAAATGATTTCCAAAACTCCTAACAAAACGATGGGGAATCTAAACTTGACACGATTGTTTTGTTTTTAATTCCCGCCATATGTTCCACACTGAGCTGTGTGCATTTCTCTGCCGTCAGTTACTTTGATTCATCCCTGTAGAAGGTTCCTACTATGTTCATTTTACTTCAGAAGTCATAGAGATAATCATACAAACAGAATTGCAGCCACTCTGGTGGAAGAATAGAGCTGGAGTCAGGCCAAGAGCACCACTCACCTGTCTATCCCTCACCCTGCAATGTTCTCTAGCTCCCAGGTTTCCCGTCTTAAGGTCCTGGCACTTTGGTAGAATCCTCTGTAGGTGAGGGCCGCAAACACTGAAGAGGACCACTCCATGTGTAGGAGACAAGCTGTGAGTGTTCCATGGGAGTAGAGAGCAGCAGCCCAGCTGGGAGAGCAGGTGGGCTTCACGGGGTCCTGAAGGCTTAGAGCAGACCCCGCCCTCTCTATAGCAGGGTCCCTGGGCCAAGCCTACCAGGAGGGATCTGTGCCTGGTGTAGTCAGGCCAGTTTGTCGGCAGCAGGCCATTTAGGGAGGAGAGGAAATCTGATGAACAAGGTCCTTGAATCACAGAGTTTCTGAGAAATGCTGGGGCTTAAGTTTCTGTTTCCTCATGGCCGTCTCCCCCGGCTAAGCTCAGGGAGCCACTGTAGGGTATTGGCAACTATGTGCCATCTTAGAAACCCACTTTGTGATATAAAAATGATGACGGTCCTATTTTAAGGCAATAGCTCAAGCCTCTTTCTGCTTATACTCACTCATGATCTCATTAAAGACAACTGGACTCACAAAATAGTTTCCATGCTTAAGATGTGTAGAAACTGGGTGTGGTGGCACAGACCTGTGATCCTGCTTGGGAGGTGAAGGCAGGAGGATGAGAAGTTCAGGGTTATTCCCAACTACAAATTAAGTTTGAGGCCATCATGGGCTCTATGAGCTCTGACAGAAAAAACAAGCAAGGAAAGAATAACACAAAACCTTCACATTAAATAAGTAAATAAGATATGTAGACAGTCCTCTGCATACTAACTCATTTTCAAAAGTGATTTTATTTTAGTAATAGAGTAAAAAACAGGCCACAAATGGATGAAAGTGTCCATGTATTAGTTACTTTCCTGTTTCTGCAGTGAAACTCATGGCTTTAAGGAGGAAAGGTTATTCGGGCCTATGAGGGGGATGAGAGTCCATTGTCATCCTGGCAGAAGGCATGGCGGCTTGAAGGCACGGCGGCTAGAATAGTAGCAGATGGCTCCCAACTTGAAGCAGAGGCAGAGAGCAAACTGGGCATGGCCTATGGTTTTTGAAACTTCAAGGCCTGCTCCCTGAGACACACTTTCTCCAGCAAAGCCACACCTCTAAAGCCTATTCAGCTAGAACCACCAACCAGGGAACAAGTATTCAATTTCCTGAAATTATAGAGAATATCTCATTCAAGCCACCATAGTCGTTAAAGAAAGTAAGGTCAGAAAAGCCACAGAAAGAAGTGTGTGACTGGGGCTATGGCTATAGCTGGGTGATAGAGTGCTTGTTTTGCATGCTTAAGGCCCTGGGTTCACTCTGTAGTACTGTCAAAAATACAAACAAAAAAACAAACCCCAGGGAAATGTGTGTACCTGCCGAGAAGCCTTTGCCTGGCGTCACATGCCAGATGATCAAGCCTGCGCTCCTCCCCACAGTGCTACCTGAGCCCTCTTCTCAGCAGCAGCTTAGACAGCCTGCTTCAGCCTCACAGGACAGAGAATTTTCAGCACTAAGTACCAGGCCCACCCTGGATGTCGTACACGAGCTCTCATGGTTTCCAGCTAGCCAAGCTGGGTCGCGCACAAGGATGGCTTCTGTGGATCAGAAATCCAACTATGTGAACAAGACATAGGCCCCAGCAACAGATTCTGGAATATCATTTAGCCAATGCCTGTTTTGAGCCATACCCACCCCTGTCAACAGGACCCCACTCCTGGTGATTTCTGCTACTGTTAGATCGCGTTAGGATCACAGATGACTGTGCTGTAGTTGATAACCAGGGAAGTCTGCAAACCTAGGTCTGTCCAGGACACATGACACTGGTGACACCAATCCAAGAAATCCCCCAAGGGTCAACAGTGCTAGGGTGGGGGCTTGAAGGAGGACAAGACAGGAAAAGGCTGTGTGGAGTGGATATGGTCAAAGTACATGCAGATACTTGAACAAGAATGTCATCCTGAAAGCATCACTTTGTAGGAGGAGTATGCTGAAACTAGGAAGTAAATCATATGGCGAGGCCTGTAGACAGGCTGATGCTGCTGAGCAGATCAATAAGCAGAGACCCTAGGAAGCCGGCCTGAGCTCTGCTCCTGCTTGTGAGGATGGTGCCCTTTTTGGTTTGGTTTTATTGTAGACAACAGGATAGCAATATCACGGTGGCACTTGACTGATTGCAGCCACCTCTGTCTGGAGGGGTAGGCTCGGGCGCTTGTTTCTCAGGATCGTACTGCACTTCTTCACCTTGATTCCTTTAGCTGGGGCTGGCTCCTGGCCTGAAACCTTGTCATCCTGGAATTGCTGTGCTCCTCAGATAGGAGCTCTCTTCCCCAGGCCTTGCCTTTCTTGTCATGTGACTTTTAAATTTTTTTGGCAGAACTGGTTTGTCAATCTCCCTTCTAATCATTCAGACCTTGCTTCTCTTGCCTGTTAGGCTCCCAAGGGAGTTTCACATCACAAATCCTTGATCAGGGAGATGCGCGCGCACACATATAGGACACACACACACACAGGGACACACACACAGGGACACACCGACCCTGCAGGACATCACAAGCTCTTTATTTACTTTTCTTCGCGGTGGTCAGCTGCCCCCACACACTTCTTCAAGTCAGGCAGCTTCTAACAAGAGTTCACTGTCTTCTTCCGGACCGTTGTCTCTTGCAATTACTAAGCCTCAACAGCCGATCTGCACTTGACAGTGGGCTCCTGTAGTCAGCAAAGGTTTTCTTTTTAACAAGACTTTTAGAACACCAACAGACTACCATGGCCTCTTCAGCTCGGTTCCCAGTATCGAGGCCAGGTTCTCAGACCCCTAGCTTTGGAGTGCTGGGAAGGTTCTTACTTTAGATGATATTCATGCTGGGCCTGATTCCTGCCATCACCTCACTCTGGACCAACAGGGGCCATCCATTCTGTTTGTGATCTGTCATCCTTGATGGGAGGGATTCTGGTGAACCAGTCATGACTCCTGACAATACTTGTAGCAATGACCCTGAAAAGAGGCCCTAGCTCCCAGGCTGAGTGACCTGACCTGCTGTGCCCTGGTCCTGTCCCTCCTCCTTTGCTGCTTGCCTCCAGGAAAGACCTTTTGAAAAAAATCTTTTTTTGACTACCATTTTGTTTTAGGATCTCAGAATAAACTACAAAATGGATCCAGGTATATCTTGACACTATGTAATACACATCAGATTTTATAGAACTTTAGCAGACTCCTTGGAAAACAAATCAGGGAGACTGCCTGCTGTTAGTTTGTTATACCACCTCTAACTCTCTCTCTCTTCCTTTCCCTCTACCCCCCCCCCCCCAACTCACACACGCATATACACACCATCCCTGGCTTCTTTGTATCACTTTAAGCCCTTGGTGACGTTGACAGTAAAGGGGGCATGATACACTTTTGACTGGAAGAATCCTGAGGATAGGCTTGCTTTGTCTGTCTGTACTAGTGCTCCCAAGTTCAATCCCCATCCTTCCTTCAGCTCTTTCTGCAACACGCGAACAGTCAGTGTGTTTGCCTCTTACCTCAACTTCTGACCCTGCAGGAGGGATTTAAGGAAGTCTAAGGCTCACTTGCCTTGAAATTAAAAGCAAATGTCTGTATGTGGTTTAACTGTATCCATATGCATTTTTAGTGACCTGATGATTAGATTGAAGGTGAGCAAATTCTATCCAGCCTTCTGCTGAAAGAAGAGTAGATTGGGGTTAACTGCCTCTCTGAGTTTGAGTTTTCTTTTTCTTTGTCTTTTTTAAAAATACGAATCCTCCCTACATTCTGCTGCTGGAGTCCATTTCCTCTTGGCCTTTCAAACAGAATTGCCATTTAGTTTAAGGGTCATTTTAACATAAAATGTATTTTCTCAGCTTAAAAAAATAACATTTTAAAAACAGAAAGTTGTGGAAACAATGTTCTGTTCCATCTTGTTTTGGGTTTTGGATACAGGGTCGCATAGCCCAGCCAGACCTAGATAGAACATGAGGTCCTCCTGCTCCCACCTCCCGGGCTTGGGGATATAGACATGCACCACTACACCCGCTTGCACTTGGCAGCCTTGATGCTCACACACAGAGCATGCCACCCCACACTTCAGCCTTCTGGCAACTTAATGCTTGCCTAAGGAAGACCGTCAGAAGTGGAGGGGATCTAACGTGAGCAAGGAAGTAGTTTTGTCATGTCCAAGGAATTCCTGTCGGTGTTTGAAAATATTTATGAGTGGTTTCTTTTTAAAACTTTTCTGAAGGTTTAGTAGGTGTGTGTGTACGTGTGTGTGCCTGGTACCCAAGGAGGTCAGAAGAGACTGTCAGATTCCCTGGGAACTGGAGTTAAGGATGACTGTGAACACCACATGAAGCTGGATTGAATCTTGATTCTCTGTAAGATCAAAAGGAGCTCTTAGCCACTGAGTCATTGTCACTGTGGCCCCTATAAATGATTCCTTGATGCTAAAAAAACATGTTCT